AATTAACACTAATATGGAAGAGAGCGGTATTTACTTGAGTATATTGAAGGCATTTCTTCTGTTGTGCCTTAGGCCCTTTGGGAACTACATTTCCCAAGACCCAACGTGGCCTTCACGGTTTACTCTTGATATGTGGGCTGATGGGAATTGTAGTCTCTTGGGTGGATATCTAGGGAAGGCGGTTGTCATAGATTCCCAGGTCTTTTGGACTCCAACTCCCAGAATTCCTGAGATTGGGCCAACATGGCTGAGGATTCTGGGAGATGAAGTCCTAAACAGCTTACAGGCACAAAGGCTGGGAAATACTAAGGTTTAATGCTATTTTGGAGCCCTTTTTCCCTCTGGAAGGGTACAGGCTTTGATCTCCACAGAGCACTTGGCCCATTTCTTGCATGGGAGTTGTAGTTCGACAAGGCCTGCAGCAAATTATTATTATTGTTATTAATTGATGACATTTATATGCCGCCCTTCTCACCCCGAAGGACAGCATATAAGATATAATATATTGTGTTTATATCTTATATGCTGCCCTTCGGGGTGAGAAGGGCAGCATATAAACGTCGTAAATTAATAATAATAATAATAATTTGTTTCAGGTCTTGTAGAACTACAACTCCCATGCAAGAAATGGGCCAAGTGCTCTGTTATTAGCATAGTATAATATCAGCATTATATAACTATACTGTACCACATAATTATATTGTAATATTATTAGCAATATTACATGTAATAAAAACTTCTGCTTCATTGACTCTTCTAAAGCCTTTGACTGTGTGGATCATCATAAACTGTGGCAAGTTCTTGGTGGGATGGGCATCCCAAGCCCCCTTCCCTCTCTCCTGAGGAATCTGTACAAGGACCAAGTAGCAACAGTCAGAACTGACCACGGAACAGGAGACTGGTTCAAGATTGGGAAAGGCGTACGGCAAGGCTGCATCCTCTCACCCAACCTTTTCAACTTGTATGCAGAACACATCATGCGAGGATGTGCGGGGCTGGATGAATGCAAAGCTGGGGTGAAAATTGCTGGAAGAAACATTAACAACCTCAGATATGCAGATGACACCACTCTGATGGCCGAAAGCGAGGAGGAGCTGAGGAGCCTTCTAATCAAGGCGAGAGAAGAAAGCGCAAAAGCCGGGTTGCAGCTAAACGTCAAAAAAACCAAGATTATGGCAACAAGAATGATTGACAACTGGAAAATAGAGGGAGAAACCGTGGAGGCCGTGACAGACTTTGTATTTCTAGGGGCAAAGATTACTGCAGATGCAGACTGTGGCCAGGAAATCAGAAGACGCTTACTTCTTGGGAGGAGAGCAATGTCCAGTCTCGATAAAATAGCGAAGAGTAGAGACATCAGACTGGCAACAAAGATCCGCCTAGTCAAAGCCATGGTATTCCCTGTAGTCACCTACGGATGTGAGAGCTGGACCTTAGGGAAGGCTGAGCGAAGGAAGATCGATGCTTTTGAGCTGTGGTGCTGGAGGAAAGTGCTGAGAGTGCCTTGGACTGCGAGAAGATCCAACCAGTCCATCCTCCAGGAAAGAAAGCCCGACTGCTCACTGGAGGGAAAGATACTAGAGACAAGGCTGAAGTCCTTTGGTCACATCATGAGGAGACAGCAAAGCCTGGAGAAGACAATGATGCTGGGGAAAGTGGAAGGCAAAAGGAAGAGGGTCCTTGAAGTGACTGGACTGACCTTGAAGGAGCTGGGGGTGGTGACGGCCGACAGGGAGCTCTGGCGTGGGCTGGTCCATGAGGTCACGAAGAGTCGGAGATGACTGAACGAATGAACAACAACAACATCATTATATTGTAATATTATTAGTAATATTACATGTAATAAAAAAGATATAATTATAATATTGTATTATTGGTAATAGTATTATGTTATCTGTATTATAATGTAATACAACATAATACTACTACTACTAATAATAATACAATATTATATTATTGTATTACATTATAATATTTATAACATTATAATGTAATACAACATAATATTGTTAATACTATAATATAATGATATATACAATATATATATATAAAAATGCTCAGTTCGTAATGAGTACTTTAAAAACAAAAGAACCAATGAATGAAATCACACCACATTTGGCAACAAAACTTCTCACAACACAAGGAGTGACCATCACACAACAAATTATGATTTTGTCATTTGGGAATTGTAGTTGCTGGGATCTATAGTTCACCTATAATCAAAGAGCATTCTGAACTCCACCAATGATGGAATTGAACCAAACTTGGCACACAGGCCTCATGACCAACAGAAAATACTGGAAGGGTTTGGTGGGCATTGGCCTTGAGTTTGGGAGTTGTAGTTCACCTACATCCAGAGAGCACTGTGGACTCCAACAATGATGGATCTGGACCAAACTTGGCACAAATATTCCATATGCCCAATTTTGAACACTGATGGAGTTTGGGGGAAATAGACCTTGGCATTTGGGAGTTGTAGTTACTGGGATTTATAGTTCACCTACAATCAAAGACTATTCTGAATGAACCCCACGAATTACAGAACTGGGGCAAACTTCCCACACAGAACCCCCATGACCAACAGAAAATACTCAAGGTCATCCAGTCCAACTCCCTTCACCAGGGTAAGAAAACATAATCAAAGCCCTCCTGACAGAGAGCCATCCAGCCATAAATATAGATAGAGATATATGATTCACACACAGAGAGATAAAGTATTATAAATTTGAAAGAGACCCCTGAAGAAGGACAATTATATGTTGCCTGTTCCAGAGCAGGCAAACCAGACAATCTCTACGTCAGCACTGTCAAAGAAACATCAAGAAATACTGTTTACCCTCAAGCAGAAAGACATTACATAGATTAGAAACCTGCACTTTCTAATTACTTTATTTTCCAGATCACCAGACTGGGCCACAGCAACGCGTGGCAGGGGACCGCTAGTATATTATATTATTAGGATTATTATTGAAGCCCCCTTTAATTATCCTTCATTGCACTGAGCATTGTGGCTAAAGTGGTGTGAAAGTGCATCAGTTCTGCAGTGTAAACACAACCCAAGGCTTGGGATGTAATCACACTAAAAGATGGAGGGCACTTTTATCTACCATGGCAAGGATGCTGGGATTTGTAGTTTGGTGAATTCAAAGCCTTGAGTCAAAGAGTGCTCAAATGCATCGGTTGCAGTGTGAGCGAGCTTCTTATCATATGTGTTGTGTTTCATTATGCAGGCTGTCCCCAAGTTACAAACATCCAACTTACAAACAACGCCTACTTAAGAACGGGACTGAAACAACAGGAAGTGAGATAATTCTTATATGTTACTAGCCGTCCCCTGCAACGCTTTATTATATATATGCAAACACACATATATACACACACAAAACACATATACACATAATGGGCCACAAAACTGTGTATATGTGTTTTGTGTGTGTATATATGTGTGTTTGCCTATGAGTGTGTATATATATATATATATATATCTCAGTGTGTATTTGTGTGTTTATATGTGTACATGCATATTTTGTATATGTGTGTGCTTGTCTATATGCATATTTGTGTGTATATATGTTTTGTGTGTGTTTGTGTGTGTGTGTGTGTAGTTTTGCACGTGCATGTGTTGCAATGTATTTTCTGTTTTTTGGCTTTTTAAGTCTCTTCCGCTGTGTTTTTCAGTCTTGGTCACTCATTGGCCTGAGAGGTGTCTTGTGTCCAAATTTGGTGTCAATTCATCCAGTGGTTTTTTAGTTATGTTAATCCCACAAACGAATATTACATTACATAACATATGTATTAACCTTTATATTGTGTAAATAGTATACTATTTAACATGAATATAACGTTCTAAAGAACCATAATCTAAATATTATTTTATTAATAAATAGCATTAACAATGCTATAACACTAAAAGATATAAAATGTTCACCCCGCTCCTGGATTTGAACCGCTGGCCTTTTGGTCAGCAAGTTCTGCAGGTCAGCAGTTTAACCTGCTGCACCACCAGAGGCTCTTCCCAAGTATGTAGAAGTACGTTTTTTGTTCCTGGATTATAAATGTCATTTCCTAATTGGTTATATCATAAAAGCTTTGGAAATGTTTATCAAACTGCCTAAACTTTGTGTTTTGCGGTCTGCACATCGAAAGGTTAAAAATTAGCAATGGGTTTCACAATATAGTTTGTGCCAGCCTAATAAACAGAGTTTCTGGACTAGATCAAGGATTATCAAGGTAAGGACACAATTCCTAAGAGCCAGTATTATATTACTAGCCATCCCCTGCCACGCGTTGCTGTGACCCACTCTGTGTATATGTGTTTTGTATGTGTATATTTGTATATATGTGGTTTTGCGCATGCGTTGTAATGTATATTTTATTTTCATGGCTTTTTAAGCCTCTTCCACTGTGTTTTCCATTTTTTTATGAGCGATGGTCACTCCTTGGCCTGAGAGGTGTCTTGTGTCCAAATTTGGTGTCAATCCGCCCGGTGGTTTTTTAGTTATGTTAATCCCACAAACGAACGTTACATTTTTATTTATATAGATTATTTTAATGATTTTATTGCTTTGTATTTTTTATAATTATAATATGTCACTATTACATAATTTTAATAATAATAATATATTATTATTATATTTTTATTACTAGCCATTCCCTGCCACATGTTGCTTTGGCCCAGTCTGTGTATATGTGTTTTGTGTGTGTGTATATATGTGTGTATACATTTGTGTATATGTGTGTTTGCATATATATGTGTGTGTGGTCTGAGGCTGTGAGGAATGATGGGAGTTGAAGTCCAAACACCTGGAAGGCCAAAGTTTGCCCATGCCTTGTGTAACCTCTCAAAAAATTAAATGTTGAGACTCTGGCCTGTCATTTCTTGACTCTTCCCCTTTGATTCACCTTGTTACAGCTCAAAATTTATTTGAAGTTGATGTCGCAAACAAAAACATTCAGTAAAAATGAGTGGAAGAAGGAGAAGAATGGTTGACCACAGCAGACACTTTCCCACCAAGCATGCTAATTACGCTAGCAATAAATCAACGCACCAACCATTGCTGACAAATTTGCAGAGCCAACAAAACATTTTTCCCCAGCAAGAGGCCATCGCCAAGGCAAGTTATATCCTGGCATGGCAATTGGCAAAGGCCTGCAAACCTTTCTCCGACGGGGAGTTCTTGAAAGAATTCATGGTGACGATAGCAGACGAGTTGTTCCCAGAGAGCAAAGACGGATTTGCAAAACTGCATTTATCGTGCAGCGCGGTGGCTCGCCATGTAGAACTCATTGATGAGGACGTAACCAACCAATTGCGTAAAAAAGCAGAGTCATTCCAGTTTTATTCGCTAGCACTGAGTGAGAGTACTGACCTGGTAGGCGCTGCTCAGCTCTTAATTTTCGTAAGAGGAATTAATGATGATTTTGAGATAACGGAGGAATTTTTGGCCATGGAACCCCTAATGGAGGATACACAAGAACAGGACTTGTTTGGCAGCGTGTCTGGTGTTATCGAAAGGCTGAAGCTGCCTTGGTGCAAACTTATCAGTGTCGCCACGGATGGATCACCAAATTGGACAGGAAACGCTGGCCTGCTCAAAAGAATTCAGGAAAAAGTCAAGGAAGAGAGCCTGAGGCAGGATGTGATTTTCCTTCACTGCATTATCCATCCGCAAGCCCTGTGTCAGTCCATATTGCAGCTTGGTCATGTCACGAATGTTGTCATTGAACTCGTTTACTGCATACGAACACAAGGACTTAACCATCATCTTCCGTTTACTCAGTTGCTTGAGGAAACGGATCACCAGGACTTCCTTGACTATTTTTCTGTCCGCTGGGAAAGTTTGGCGAAAGTATGTCAACAAGTGTGGGAGCTCAAAGCAGAGATACGCACTTTTCTGGAGACGATCGAGAAAGCTGACGATTTCCTACAGTTGAGCGACGCAGATTGGATTTGCGATTTTGCTTTTGCGGTCGACATCCTGGCACATGTGAATGACCTGAGTGTAAAGCTGCAAGGGAAAGGTACGTTTGCATACGACATTTATACACATGTGACAGCATTCAAGTCCAAGTTGGCTTTGCTTTCCACACAAGTGTTGGACAGATCCCTCAATCATTTCCCCACGCTTGCGACGCTCGACGTGGACACTCAACATTTGCAGAAATACAGCCAATTACTGGACGACCTGCTTGGGGAATTCAGCCACCGGTTTTCAGATTTTGACAAAATTGAGAAGTTGCTTCAGGTGATGTCCGTTCCCCTGTCCCAAGACCCGGAAACGGTACCGGTTGAGTTGCAGTTCGAACTAATTGATTTTCAATATGATTATGGCTTAAAGGAGAAGTTCGGCTCTCTCAAACCGAACAAGTTTTATGCTTCTCTGAGTGAAGCCTCTTTTCCAAACCTTCGGAAGATGGCGCAGAGGATGCTGGTGTTGTTTGGCTCAACTTACATCTGTGAGCAGACGCTCAGAGCGATGAATGTCAACAAAGCACATCACAGAGGCCAGCTCAATGAGGGACACCTTAAATCAGTCTTAAGAATTGCCACGACCACACTGAAACCAGACTTTGACGCGTTGGCGAGGAAAGAGTGACCGACAACACTGTTCTCACTAACACTGAAGGTATGTTTCTTTACTCTTTTGTGATGTGGCTGCATTTCATAATAAATTAATATATATTTTTAATAAAAAAATCATTGAGTAAAAATAAAAAAAAACACATCTTACCATTCGTGTTTTGGCAAACCCTGGTTGTGTTCTCTTGTTGCTTTGGCTGCACTTCAAAGGGCAAAACTTTTATGTTAATGGCTTTTACATGCAATTTATATTAGTTCACACAAACACTCTCCCTCCATTTGCCACTGGCCTGGCCTGTCTACCATATTTTAAAACCCACTGTGTCAGAAAGGTTACCCATTCCTGATTGAAAGTCCTATTCAGTTGACTTAACCTCCAAAGCATTTACAGCCATGCCTCCACAGTTGCTTCAGTTCAGGGCACAGGACTCCTGTGGAAGTAGGAAAACCACAAATAAAATAACCCTTTCTAGGAATGTCTTAGTCCTCCAGCACAATAATAATAATAATAAAACTTTATTTATACCCCGCCACCATCTCCCCAAGGGACTCAGAGCAGCTTAAATGAGGCCAAGCCCAACTACACATCAAATAACAAGCAATAAACAAAATAAACAACACAATTAACATAACTCATAAGTAGACAATAACACACAAGAATTTAAAAACCTATGGCTGGGCCAAATGTAATAGTTAAAACTTTAAAAATAATATCTGGACATGAACAGAGGATGTCTCTATTTGGAGGGTTTTAAATCAAAAGTGTGGTGGCTCTATAAGGTTTACAGTTGGCTCATGCCTGACTTAGAACCACAACTGAAAAAAGTCACACACAACTTCGCAGTCAAACCAAGATCAAGAGCTTCTGGTAAAGGAAGCTTTTCTCCTGCCACATCTGTCTGTCATGCAAGCCATGTTTTGGTACTTGAAGGATGTCACATTGGGGAGAAAAGGGACACAACGAAGCAATAGATGCAAACTCCCAGAAAAGGAATTCCACCAAAACATTAGGAATAACTTCTTGATGGTCGGAGCTCTTTGACGGTGGATGGCAGAGGCTGGATGGCCATCTGCCAGGAGGGCTTGAATTGTGGATTCTTGAGATTGTGAACATTTCTTGAACCAAGATCAAAAGCTTTCCTTCTCCTTCTGGTGGATGAGGTTATTGTCCTGCCATATCTGTTTGTCTGTCTTGGCAAGGCTTCCAGCATGGCCAGGTCTTCCCCGTGACCCGGATCATTCCTGTAGCGCTTGCAAGAGCAAGAACTGGGACGGTTTGAGGCCTCCCTCTGCTCCACTTCGGAGGGCGGTTATAGAAATCCCAGACAAGCCTGGCCTCACTTTTTCAGCATCGTCTGAAACTTGCACTCATCATGTTCTTCTTGGTTGTTGCTGGCACTATTTGTTTTCAACTTATGGCAACTCTATGAAGGAGAGCCCTTCAGGATCCCTGGTCACCCGTGGCCTCGTTCAGATCTTGCAAATTCAGAGAAGCTGGGGCTTCTTGGAATTTACTCATCTATAACACTAGGTAACACTATTTTTGTTCCTAGGTTATAAATGTTGTTTTGTAATGGGTTATATCATAAAAACATGGTAAAGTTTCTTAAGTGTGGTGAGATGTGTTCCACACTGGGCATGCATAGTCAGCAGCAGAGTAGCAAAGTGCAACGGCAGATGTCTTCACTGTGTCTGGTTATGATCCCCAGGTTGTGCCAGTCAGCTTTCATATGATTTTTTTTTCTAGCACCCACTTCTTGCTTAATATTCAGGCAGTGCTTCTTGTAGGTCCAAGCACGGTCCAGAGTGACTCCCAGGTATGTGAGTGTGTTGCAATGCTCCAGTGGGATTCCTTCCCAGGTAATAATCCTCAGAGCTTGGGATGCTTGTCTATTCTTAAGGTGAAAAGAATACGCCTGCATTTTAGATGGATCAGGAATCATCCCTGTACAGTGTTCCCTCACTTATTGCTGGGGTTAGGTTCCAGGACCTCCTGCAATAAGTGAAAAACCACGATGTAAGGATGCTATATTTATTTTAATATTTATACATTATTTTAGTAGTTATTGTTGTGACTCAGCTGGAATCACAGAGTGTTTCTGATGAGGATGATGGGACTCAGGTTCATAGTCTGGTTCAAGATGTCCCTGTTATAGACAGTGAAGAAGTGCAGTTTCCCACAGTAAGGAATGAGAATGTTGATACTGAGAATAGCACGGTGCAGGTGCAGATTGAGTCAGAGAAGGAAGACAGTTCTCAGCCTGATAATGAGCAAGCAGGGAAACAGGCTGACACTAACGAACAGGCTGACCTTGACGAAATGGGAACCTTAGATCGGGCTGACCGTTCGGAATTTCATGTTCAAAGGAGTGAGAGAATAGCTAACAAGAGGGAGGCCAGAGGCCAAAGAAACGCCTTCATGTTTTGCAGAAGGTATTAAGCAGTGGGTTTGAGACCAAATCTTTGTCAAAGCAACTTTGTGTTCAATCAAGAAGCTTGCCTTTGCTTGTCTGGATTTATCTTGCAGTTCTTGTGTTCATGGTTTCAGGACTTTGTCATGTTCTCTTGGGAACTTAAAATAAAGTGAAGGAAAGGCTCTTTAAGGCTGGAGGGAGGGAGGACTGAGGAGGGAAAGTGCCTGGGAGAATGGCTCCACAAAACAGCAAAAATGCCATGATACACATTTTAAATTAATATTTTTTGAAATTTACGAAACAGCGAGTTTGCAATGAGCGAACCACGAAGTAGCGAGGGAACACTAATACTAAGGACACCTAGAGCTTCGGAGAGCTTCTGTTCAATCATTTCAAGGCTCCCTGCTTGGGCAGTGATGGCACGATCATCAGCATAGATGAAAACTTCCCTTCTGGCAGTGGCTGCTCATTTGTGTGAATGTTAAACATGGCTTTATATTGTTTTAACTGATTTGTTTTTAACAATCCCATGATTAATTCTACTTTTAATATTTGTTGGTTTTGAATAGTATTTGTTTATAATGTTGGGAGCTGTCACGTTGCCAGGGCTCTACCTTATTTAGGTAGAGATGAACCAAACTCCCAGTTTTATCAAACAGTTTAATTAAAACAGCACTTACTTGCTGGCTGTTTTTATAGTCCAAAATATAAAACAAAGATGGCACTCAGCTACAGAATAAACAAAAACTGATAGCAAAAGTAACTTTGTAGTCAAAAGGGTCCAGTCGTCAAATGCCAAGAGTTCAATAAACAAAGTCCAGGGATCAAGAGTCTATACCGTAGTCAAAAGCCAGTCCAAAGGTTCAAGGTTCCAGGATTCCAAGATTACAGGAGACAGGTCAGGATACCGAAAAATCCAACAGACCTGGGGGGGAAACCAGCAGCATCCACCACCAAAATGCAACAAATACTTTTCTCCCAAAGATCAATCTCAAGGTTAGCTCCTTAAATCCAGTAACACCCAGCTGTAACCCATCTCCTGCACACCTCCACCCCTAATTGCTTTCACCCATGAACTCCCACCTACAGATTACCAAACCCTCTAGAACTAATACTCACATTAACCCTTCCATTACCAACCACCATCAACTGCAGAATATATGACAGGAGGCAGTTTGAGTCTTGTTTAAGACATGGAAGTCAGGTATAAATAAATACAATAATCATGCCTTTTTTTTTTCTTTGATTGTTCTTTCAGTGTGTGTAACACTTGGTTTGCACTGGACCAGGATTCCAGCTCAGGAGGAAAAGGTGAGCACTTTGGCATTGGGCTTCTGGCTGCAAAGACATTGAGGCTTCTCTTGGAATCCAAACTGGAAAAGCCAGTGTGATTCTAGGATGGGTCCATAGGAGTCTAGTGTTCAGAATGAGAGAAGTCCTAGTCCCACTCTATTCCTCTTCACCTGGAATAATAATAATAATGCTGTGTCCAGTTCTGAGTAAAGCAATTCAAGAAGGACTTTGACAAGAAGAGGGCTACCAAAAGGGTCAAAGGTCTGGAAGCCAAGCCCTATGAGGAACAGGTCTGTATCAAAGAGAAGGCTGAGAGGAAGAGGGGCAGGCAAGCCAGCCATGTTTTGGTACGTGAAGGATGTCACATTGAGGAGAAAGGGGACACAATGGAGCAGGAGATTACAACTCCCAGAAAAGGGATTCCACTAAAACATTAGGAATAAGTTCTTGATGGTCGGAGCTCTTAAACAGTGGAAGGCAGAGGGCTGGATGGCCATCTGCCAGGAGGGCTTGGATTGTGGATTCTTGAGATTGTGGAAATCTCTTGAACCAAGATCAAAAGCTTTCCTTCTCCTTCTGGTGAATGAGTTTATTGTCCTGTTATATCTGTCTGTCTGTCTTCTTGGCAAGGCTTCCAGCATGGCCGGATCTTCCCCGTGACCCGGATCATTCCTGTAGCGCTTGCAAGAGCAACAACTGAGACGGTTTGAGGCCTCCCTCTGCTCCACTTCGGAGGGCGGTTATAGAAATCCCAGACAAGCCTTGCTCGCTTTCTCAGCATCGTTTGAAGCAGGCCTGGGCAAACTTCGGCCTCCCCTTCAGGTGTTTTTGACTTCAATGTTGGACGAGTGGGATTATTAGGAAAAGACCCTCATAAATGCACAGCAGAGTAACTTACACACAGCAGCATGACTTTATACTTCCTTCTTTGCTTCCACATTGGGCTTATTTCTCATGCAGATAAATAGCTTTGCTTTCACTGAGGTTCCTCTCATACTGAGCTTCACAGTAGCTTTTTGCACACAGCGGCCTTCACACTGGAGCTTTACACACGAGGCTTTCAACCTGGGGCTTCTCTCACCGAAGCCTTCTCATGTGAGGACTTCACACACCAGGCCTACCTCACACTGAGGCCTCTCTCAGACTGAAACCTCTTCATACTGAGGGCAACTAACACTGAGGCGTACTAAACAATAGGCACAGCTGTTTATATTGAACTACAGCTTTTGTTGAGTCATTGCATCCATTTAACCCTTCCAGTGCTTGACTAGCATTATTGTAATTAAAAAGGACTAGTTAATTTGTAATTAACTCCCACAATTCCTAACAGTCCAAACATGTTGAGATTAACTTCACAATTCAGCAGTAGATCAGTTGCACAACTTCAGTGCTTTCCAGTAGCTTCTTCCTGCACAGTATTTTCAGTCAACTGCTCCCACGGCCTGCAGCCACGCTGGAACCTTTTACAGACACTTGAGTACATGCCTGGCCATTGTCAGTTTTACCATTGTCTTTCCCCTTAGTCTAGATGATATTACAGACTTACCACAGCACACAGTTATATCTTGTCTTAGCAGACAGGTTCTTTTAATTATATATAGCCTTCGACGAACAACATCACAGCACAAGGAGAGAGACTACACTGTACATGACTTCCTTATATACAGTTCATTTACACATAGCAATCACTGATTGACTTAACTCAGACCCAGGATTACATCATTCACAATCACCTGGACTAGGCCAGAACACATTCCCCAAATGATTCCCTATATACAGTTAATGCATGACTCAGCATTTCCAACAGATTTAATCTTAAGTCTCGTTTGTTTGTCCTTTTAAGCAACCCAGTGTTTCACAAGGCTTTTTTGTTTTCTTTGCCAAACGTTTGAGCTCTCGGCAGCGCAGCAGGTTAAATCGCTGAGCTTGTTGACCGAAAGGTTGCAGGTTCGAGTCTGGGAAGTGGCATGTTCTTCCGTTGTCAGCCCCAGCTTCTACCAACCTAGCAATGCAAATGTGGGTAGATCAATAGGTACTACTCCAGCAAGAAGGTAGTGGTACTCCATGCAGTCATGCTGGCCACATGAACTTGGAAGTGTCTAAAGACAACGCCGGCTCTTCAGCTTAGAAATGGAGATGAGCAGCAACCCGCAGAGTCGGACACAATTGGACTTAATTAATGTCAAGGGGAAACCCTCCGCTTCCCAAACCCCGTCTTTTGTGCTCCCATAGCATTGAATCGTGGCAGTTAAAGCTGTGCCAAAAGTGAACCCATGCCTTCGATTAGTATCAGAAGATGCGCTTCGCTGACACAAATCACTCTTTGGGGAAACATTGGGAAGTAAAATAATCCCCCAAAAGGTGGGCAGCGATAAAGGGAAGCATTATGTTGAGGACAGGTATTTTTTGGAAACCTTGGGTCTAAAAGCATCCTTTCAAAGCTGTTGCAAAACAAACTGGTCACCTATTGATCATTCTGTTTTCCAGGCCTCGAAGAGAGAAGGTGCCAGCGGTGGAGGAGGGAATCTTCGAAGAGTGCGTCCATTCTGCCTCCTGCTTCCTATGTATTCAAATGTGTCTTATATTAAAATGTGTCTTAACAGTCTTATGACGACGTGCAATAAAACCAAGCTGAAGAATATCAGACACTTTTCAAACTAAAATGGTTTGTGATGACTAGTAAAGTTCTAAACAGTTTCCCCTGTTCAAAAAGCAAGTTATTATTGTATCAATATTTATTAACTACTAGCTGTACCCGCCACGCGTTGTTGAGGCCAACCTTCCCTCTCTCTTTCTCTCCTGCCTTCCCTCTTTTTCTTTTCTTTCACCTTTCCCTTCTTTCTTCCTTCTCTACCTGTTTCTTTCCTCCCTTCTTTTGATCTTTGGTTCCATCCTTCCTTCTCTCTTTCGTCCCTCTCTGTTTCCTTTCTTCTTTCACTTTTTATTTCCTTCTCTCCTTCCTTCCTTCTCTACCTTTCTTCCTTTCGTTCCTTCTCTCCTTCCTTCCCTCTCTGTTTCTCTTCTTTCACTTTTTATTTCCTTCTCTCCTTCCTTCCTTCTCTCTTTCCTTCCTTCCTTCCCTCTTTTTCTTTTCTTTCACCTTTCCCTTCTTCTTTCTTACTTCTCTACCTGTTTCTTTCCTCCCTTCCTTTGCTTTTTGGTTCCATCCTTCCTTCTCTCTTTCCTTCCTTCCTTCCCTCTTTCTTTCGTCCCTTCTCTCCTTCCTTCCTTCCGTCTGTTTCCTTTCTTCTTTCACTTTTTATTTCCTTCCTTCTTTCCTTCCTTCTCTACCTTTCTTTCTTTCCTTCCTTCTTTCCCTCTTTCTCTCCCTCCTTCTCTCCTTCCTTCCTTCTCTACCTTTCTTCCTTTCGTTCCTTCTTTCCTTCCTTCCCTCTCTGTTTCCTTTCTTCTTTCACTTTTTATTTCCTTCTCTCCTTCCTTCCTTCTCTACCTTTCTTCCTTTCGTTCCTTCTCTCCTTCCTTCCCTCTCTGTTTCTCTTCTTTCACTTTTTATTTCCTTCTCTCCTTCCTTCCTTCTCTCTTTCCTTCCTTCCTTCCCTCTTTTTCTTTTCTTTCACCTTTCCCTTCTTTCTTCCTTCTCTACCTGTTTCTTTCCTCCCTTCTTTTGATCTTTGGTTCCATCCTTCTCTCTTTCGTCCCTCTCTGTTTCCTTTCTTCTTTCACTTTTTATTTCCTTCTCTCCTTCCTTCCTTCTCTACCTTTCTTCCTTTCGTTCCTTCTCTCCTTCCTTCCCTCTCTGTTTCTCTTCTTTCACTTTTTATTTCCTTCTCTCCTTCCTTCCTTCTCTCTTTCCTTCCTTCCCTCTTTTTCTTTTCTTTCACCTTTCCCTTCTTCTTTCTTACTTCTCTACCTGTTTCTTTCCTCCCTTCCTTTGCTTTTTGGTTCCATCCTTCCTTCTCTCTTTCCTTCCTTCCTTCCCTCTTTCTTTCGTCCCTTCTCTCCTTCCTTCCTTCCTTCCGTCTGTTTCCTTTCTTCTTTCACTTTTTATTTCCTTCCTTCTTTCCTTCCTTCTCTACCTTTCTTTCTTTCCTTCCCTTCTTTCCCTCTTTCTCTCCCTCCTTCTCTCCTTCCTTCCTTCTCTACCTTTCTTCCTTTCGTTCCTTCTTTCCTTCCTTCCCTCTCTGTTTCCTTTCTTCTTTCACTTTTTATTTCCTTCTCTCCTTCCTTCCTTCTCTACCTTTCTTCCTTTCGTTCCTTCTCTCCTTCCTTCCCTCTCTGTTTCTCTTCTTTCACTTTTTATTTCCTTCTCTCCTTCCTTCCTTCTCTCTTTCCTTCCTTCCTTCCCTCTTTTTCTTTTCTTTCACCTTTCCCTTCTTCTTTCTTACTCTCTGTTTCTTTCCTCCCTTCCTTTGTTCTTTGGTTCCATCCTTCCTTCTCTCTTTCCTTCCTTCCTTCCCTCTTTCTTTCTTCCTTTTCCTCCTTCCTTCCTTCCGTCTGTTTCCTTTCTTCTTTCACTTTTTATTTCCTTCCTTCTTTCCTTCCTTCTCTACCTTTCTTTCCTTCCCTCCTTCTTTCCCCCTTCCTCTCCTTCCTTCCTTCCTTCCTTCCTTCCCCCTTTTTGTGTATATGTGTTTTGTGTGTGTATATATACATATACGTATGTGTGTATATATTTGTGTATGTGTGTTTGTGTATATGTGTGGTTTTGCACATGCATTGTAATGTTTTTTGGGGGTTTTTTGTTGCTTTTAAGTCCCTTCTGCTGTGTTTTTTCGATGTTTTCTATGAGTGATGGTCACTCGTTGGCCTGATAGGTGTCTTGTGTCCAAATTTGGTGTCAATTCGTCCAGTGGGTTTTTGAGTTCTGTTAATCCCACAAACAAACATGACATTTTTATTTATATAGATTTATCCCCCGTCTTTCTCTCCACGGGGATTCAAGGCAGCTAACATCTATCCTAAACTGTTTAGAAAGTGCAAAACAGAAGTTAAAAAACAAATAGTAACAGGGTCACCAAATTTAAATAGACTAAAAGCAAGTTGGAATGGTTCAAAATGGTTTAGGGTTGTGTAAAACTGGTTCTGCCCCAAAGAGGTCAAGGAACAGCCTCGTTCTCTTCCGGCACCAGAAGGACAACAATATTGGCACCAATTAGACCATGAGATGGATCTAAGACAGTGGTTCTGAACCTACCTTATGCCGCAGCCTCTTCATACCGTTCCTCATGTTGTGGTGACCCCCCAACCATATCATCATTTTTGTTGCTACTTCAGAACTGTTGTTTTGCTCCTCTTATGAGTCATCATGTAAATATCTGATCTGCAGGTTGTATTTTCATTCACTGGACCACATTTGGCAGAAATACACAATATGCCCAAATTTGAGAACTGGTGGGGTTGGGGTTGATTTTGTCATTTGGGAGTTGTAGTTCACCTGCAATCAAAGAGCATTCTGAACTCCCAACAATGGAATTGAACCAAACTTGGACACAGAACTCCCATGACCAACAGAAAATACTGGAAGGGTGTGGTGGTTATTGACCTTGAGTTTGGGAGTTGTAGCACACCTACATCCAGGGAGCACTGTGGACTCGAACAATGATGGATCTGGACCACACTTGGCATGAATACTCAATATGCCCAAATGTGAACACTGGTGGAGTCTGGGGAAAATAGACCTTGACGTTTTGGAGTTGTCGTTGCTGGGATTTATAGTTCACCCACAATCAAAGAGCATTCTGGACTCCACCAATGATGGAATTGAACGAAACTTGGCATACAGAACTCCCACGACTAACAGAAAATACTGGAAGGGTTTGGTGGGTATTGACCTTGAGTTTGGGAGTTGTAGTTCACCTCCATCCACAGAGCACTGTGGGCTCAAACCATGATGGATCTGGACCAGACTTGGCATGAATACTCAATATGCCCAAATGTGAACACTGGTGAAATTTGGGGAAAATAGACCATGACGTTTGGGAGTTGTCGTTGCTGGGATTTATAGTTCACCTACAATCACAGAGCATTCTGGACTCCACCAACAATGGAATTGAACCAAACTTGGCACACAGAATTCCCATGACCAACAGAAAGTACTGGAAGGGTTTGGTGGGCAAGATGTCCTTGTTTGTTTCCTCTCTGTTGTGTTGTTCTAATTTTAGAGTTTTTAATACTATTAGCCAGATTTTTTCATTTTCATGGTTTCCTCCTTTATGTTGAAATTGTCCACATGCTTGTGGATGTCAATGGCTTCTCTTTGTAGTCTGACACCTCTCAACAAAAGATTGCTCCAGGCACTCAAATGCTAATCAAGGTGGCCAGCTGAAACATTCACACCTAGCTCCAGCAGACAAGAGTCCTTTGTCCCACCCTGGTCTTTCCACAGATATATAAACCCTTTTTCCTAGTTCCAACAGACCTCACTACCTCTGAGGATGCTTGCCATAGATGCAGGCGAAACGTCAGGAGAGAATGCCTCTAGAACAGCGTTTCTCAACCTGGGGGTCAGGACCCCTGGGGGGGTCACGAGAGGGTGTCAGAGGGGGTCACCAAAGACCATCAGAAAACACAGTATTTTCTGTTGGTCATCTGGGTTCTGTGTGGAAAGTTAGGTCCAATACTATTGGTGGGGTTCAGAATGCTCTTTGATTGTAGGTGAACTACAACTCACAAATGTCAAGCTCTATTTTCCATGAACTCCGCCAGTTTTCACATTGGGGCATATTGAGTATTCAGTCCAGGTTTGCGCAAGATCCATCATTGTTCGAGTCCACAGTGCTCTCTGGATGTAGGTGAACTACAACTCCAAAATTCAAGGTCAATGCCCACCAAACCCTTCCAGTATTTTTGTTGGTCATGGGAGTTCTGTGTGCCAAGTTTGGTTAAATTCCATCATTGGTGGAGTTCAGAATGGTCTTTGATTGTAGGTGAACTATAAATCCCAGCAACTACAACTCTCAAATGACGAAACCAATTCCTCTCTTCCCCCCCACCCCAGCGGTATTCAAATTTGGGCATATCAGGTATTTGTGCTAAATTTGGTCCAGTGAATGAAAATACCTCCTTCCTGCATATCAGATATTTGTATTGTGATTCATAACAGTAGCAAAATTACAGTTATGAAGTAACAACGAAAATAATTTTATGGTTGTGGGTCACCACAACATGAGGAACTGTCTTAAGGGGTCGTGGCATTTGGAAGGTTGAGAAACACTGCTCTAGAACATGGCCATATAGCCTGAAAAAACCTACAACAACCCAGGTCCTCCCTTGTGCATGTGGCAGGGCTCAGGTTCCATTGCAGCAGGTGGTCAGTGGTTTGCTCTTCTCCACACTCGCATGTCCATCCTTCCACCTGAAGCTTAGGAAGAACACCTGGACGATCAGTGGAAGACATGGCCTTGGAGTCTTATCCTCTGCTGAAGCTGAGTCTGGATGGCCACCTGTGGGGAGGGCTCTGACCGTGTCTTCCTGGATGGCCATCTCTGGGGGTCTCTTGCAACTCTAGGTTTCTGATCCAAGGAGGAGGATGCAGCCAGAATGCCCTTGTGCCCCTTCGTTTATTTATTTCTCGTGTCAGGGCAACCAGTCAATTATATTAGCACCCACTTTTTGCTTGATGTTCAGGCAATGCTTCTTGTAGGTCAGAGCACAGTCCAGAGTGACTCCCAGATATTTGAGTGCGCTGCAATGCTCCAGTGGGATTCCTTCCCAGGTAATAATCCTCAGAGCTCAGG